CCTGGGGACAGAAGAGACAGCCGAGACAGGGAAGGCAAGAGGTGCTGTGGGAGGGGGCAGAAATGGAGGGAAATAAACCCATTTTTATCTGGGAGAGAACAAGGTGAATCACTTTGATATTTCCTGTTCCTCAAGTGTTGTCATGGGAAGGATATTCTCTTACAACACTTGGAGGGTTTTGGACTTCTCTGCAGTGATGAGCAAGAAGTTGTCTTTGGATTGAGGTGACTCTCATTTCAAAAATAGCACTTTAGTGTGGGCTGGGGAGATCTGGTCCAGTTAACCCTGCTAACAGCTTCTTTTTCCCTGATAACGATGGAGGTTTGAGGAAAATCACCACCCCAAAAGTGAAATGTGTGGGGAATCGAGCAACAGCTCTTTTTTTATTGAATCCCAGCTTCAGTTTAGCAGCTGTTCACCACAGAAAGTGAGGAGCCTCTTGAAATCATGGATTTAATGGTAAATGCAGCCTTTATTTCTGTCAGAGTGGCTCTGCTGGCCTCAATCAGGAGTCCCACACTGGATGGGAGCTGAGTGACTCCCTGCACTTCCAGGAACTCCTCATGAGCTGTGGGGGACAGCGATTTCCAGGGGAAGGCTAAAGAGTCCCTAAACATCTTCTGCTCTGTGTTACCCCATAAAAACCACGTGTCTGCCAGAAAACTGCACTGGCATCAGCCCTTACTGCACCCCAGGCTGTGCTCCAGAAAGCTGGCAAAGCATTATTATAAAGAGGATTTTTAATCTTACACTTACAAAGAGAAGAACAAAGTCACTCAGTGATAAGTCCAGCTCTTCACTGAGAGCATGAGACATGGAAACTGAATTTAGTTTAGTAGTTTTAGCTTATTATTTATTATTTAATTTATTATTTTAGTTTCAGTAGTTTATTATTATTATTTATTTTAAAATAATTTTAGTAGTTAATAAATATAATTTATTTAATACTAAATAAATACTATTAAATATATACTATTAAATAAATATAATAGTTTAAAAATTTTAGTAGATTATTATTATTATTATTATTATTATTATTATTATTATTATTATTATTATTATTATTATTATTTTAGTTTTAGTAGTTTTAGTTTATTATTTATTATTTAATTTCGCGGGGTTTTAGTTATTTTAGTATTTTTTGTTTCATTTTAGTTTAGTTTATTTTTACATCCCCCTCCCTGCTCTGTGGTGCAGCAGAGAGTGTCACAAATGGGTAATTTTGATCACTCAGTTATGTCCAAAGGTATTGGCAGAAGGGGTTTTGGTAGGGTGTGGTAAAAGTGTGAATTAAAAAGGTTCAATGGCAAGGCTCACTCTGCTCCTTACTACAGGGAGGAGAAATACAAAGGAACAGAGAGTTAAAATTGATCTAGAATTATTTACAAATGCTTTCCACAGTGACCAGAGACCCAAAAGGGTCAGGGGGATCCCCCAGTGAGTTGTGAGGCTCAGAGGACCCCTCTGCTCTCTGAGCTCCTGATGGAGTCTGGGTGCAGCTGGGTCCAGTCTGGGTGTCCTGTGCACAGTTTGTGTCTGATGGAGTTGGTTACATGGATTTAATCACAATTAATTCAGGAAATGAGGTCTGTGATGAATCCAGGCTGTCAGCCTTGCCTAAGGGGGAATCTCTCAGTCTCAGGTAAGGAACCTTGTTGTACTTAAGGAAAAAAGCATTTGGCTGGAAGTCAAATTGCACTCGCTGGGAAAGGTGTGTGTGAGACTCCTCACTTGCTTTGTTCCTTGGTTAATGAGTCCTGGAGAAGCTGCCAGCTGCTCTTCAGTGCTCCATGGTGCTCCATGTCCCTGCTCCCCTTCCCCTGGAGGAATTCCTGCCTCTGGAGCCTGTCCCTGCCCATTCCTGGCTGGGTTCAGGTTTTCCTGGAGGAATTCCTGCCTCTGCAGCCCGTCCCTGCCCATTCCTGGCTGGGTTCAGGTTTTCCTGGAGGAATTCCTGCCTCTGCAGCCTGTCCCTGCCCATTCCTGCTTGGGTTCAGGTTTTCCTGGAGGAATTCCTGCCTCTGCAGCCTGTCCCTGCCCATTCCTGCTTGGGTTCAGGGCTCAAACCCATCCCTGCCAGAGCAGGAGGGCCAGGGTGGGTCTGTCTGGAGGGAAATGGGCTTTGCAGAGTGCTCAGCCCACCTGGGACTGTGGTGTGTCAGACATATTTTATGAAAAACCCTTTTGCCAGGATCTTTTCTCCTGAGAAGCTTCAGCTTCTCCATGTTTTGCTGCTTTGGAATGTGATTTGGAGAATTGTTTACCCAGCATGTGGAATTGTTTTTACTTGGTGATCGGTGACAGCCACCTGTGTCGAGGCTGTGAGCAGTCACAAGATTTTATCATCATCCCGTTCCTTTCAAGCCTTCTGATGTCTCCTTTCTCTTTTCTTTTAGTATAGTTTTAACATATCATTTTCCTTTAATATAATATATATCATACAATAATAAATCAGCCTCCTGAAGCACGGAGTCAAGATTCTCATCTCTCCCCTGGTCCTGGGACCCTGTGAACAGCACCCCAATGGTGGAGCAGCTTCCCAGCCCAGCAGTGCAGGAAATGGGGGTGGCAGTGACTCAACTCTGCTGTCAGCACTCAGCAGTGGCAGAGAGGAGCTGATGGGCCCAGGGATGGAGAATGGCAGAGTCTCAGTGAGCTGCTGCTGGCAGGGGACACGGTGTGGCCATTGCTGCCATCTGGGGGGACATTTCCCCTCTCCTGGGCAGAGCAGTGACTCCGTGGGGCCTTGTGGTCACCTGCTGGCCACCAGCCAGCCCCCATGGCTGTGACAGGTGAAATCTTTGTTAATGCCTTAAATCCAGGGGTGGATCCATTCATTTATCCATTAATGGGGTTTATCCATTTTATCCATTTACCCATTCTCTGGGTTTTCCCATTTCCCTGAGGAGAGGAGGAGGAGAAGGGGCAGAGCCAGGCCAAGGGGACAGTGCTGTGTGCTGCTGTTCACAGGGGTCCCAGGACGAGGGGAGAGATGAGAATCTTGACTCCATGTTTCAGAAGGCTGATTTATTATTTTATTATATATATTATATTAAAAGAAAATGATATTTTAAAACTATACTAAAAGAATAGAAGAAAGGATTTCATCAGAAGGCTTGAAAGGAAAAGAAAAGAAATGGAATGATAATAAAGTCTTGTGACTGACCAGAGAGTCCGAGGCAGCTGGGCTGTGATTGGCCATTAATTAGAAACAACCACATGAGACCAATCAAAGATGCACCAGTTGCATTCCACAGCAGCAGGTAATTATTATTTTTCTTTTCCTCTGAGGCTTCTCAGGAGAAAAAAATTCTGGCAAAAGGATTTTTCATAAAATGTGTCTGTGCCAGTTCTTGTGCCAGGTGAGCTGAGCTCAGCCTGGCAGCTGAGCACCCCCGAACTCCCCAGTGCCACCAGTGCAGCCTTTCCCTGCTGCCTCCTGGATTGCCTTTGCTTTTTGGGGGGTTTTGTCTGTTTGTGAAGATTTTTTTACCCCGTTTTAGAAATTGTTTTTGGGGTTGGTTTGGGGTTTTTATTTCACTCTTATCTAGAAAGTTTCAGTGATTGTAGAAGACTCCATGATAGCAAGATGTTTCAGATATTGTGTAACATCAGTGCGCACTAAAATTACATTTTTTTCTAGAAGAACAAAGGAAGAAAGATGCCCCCTAACTGGCATTTTGACATACAAAATCACTGAAAAGTTTTTCATCCGTTTTGCAGGAGAAATCAGAATTAATTTTATGCTGATATCTCACAGGGTGAAACCACACCAGGTATTTTGTCCTATGGAAGAACTCCAGAGCAGGAGCACAGGAGAGTGGATTTTTGGCTTTTTCCTCCAAATTCAGGTTGGAGGTCAGGCCTCAGGGACACAGAGGTGAACCTCTAGACCTCTCCCCCTTTTCTTTGCAAAACACAGCAGCAGTTTTTGAACCAGCAGAAGCTTTAAGCTGCAAACAGGGGCCAGCCAAACTCTGCCTTTTTGACAAAAATATCCTTTTGACTCCAGCAAATTTCCCTTGCAAAATGCTGTCTAATACACACATCCTGAATTACTCCTCTGGCAAGCACCAGCCAGGTCTGCAGAGTGGGGGGCTCATTTGCATTGCAAAGCTGCCATCAGTGTCTGGGAAGGCTGAGGCACTTTTATTCTGATTTTCCTTTGAAGCCAAGTAACCACGGTGGCATTATTTGCATCTGGGCTGGCATTGACAGGCTGTGGTGGTGCCTTTCTCCCTGGCTCCCTGGAGACAGCACAAGGGGTAATCAACAGCCTCAAGTGCTCCGAAACTGAGCCTATTTTTTCCACTGCATTAGCAGCAGCAAATGCACAAGCACATTATTAAGATGGTGCATTCATTTCTTTGGAGTCAGGATGGAATTTTGATAGAGTTAAAAACCCCATTAATATTTACATCACTTAGTGGTGCTGGAAGTAAGTACATTTATTTTAACTCAAGCTGCAAAGCATTTAGCTCTTTGTAATTACAGCACTGCTATTAAGTATTCATAAGGCTGCACAATAGAGTGTCACAGGAAACCTGGTTTAATTTAGTGGTAAGTCAATGTTTTAGGTTTGTGTAAAAACAGAAACTAATTTACCAAGCCTTCTTGCTTGTGTTTTCCCACCTGGGCTTTGCAAACTTTCTTCAGCTTGGCTCTATTCAAGCTCCTTTTTGTACCTTTGGAAGTTGGGAAGTTGCTGGGGAAGTCTTGCAGGTGTGCAGGTGATCTGGGATGGGCAGAGCCAGGCTGGGGGGAGAGCTGGAAAGCTGCCTGATGGAAAAGGAGCTGAAGTGCTGGTGTAGAGCAGCTGAACATGAGCTGGTGGGTGCAAGGGGGCCAAAACACCGAGGGCACCTGGATCCTCCAGCGAGTGCCTCCAATGGGGGAAATCTGCATTTATGGGAGATCCTGGAGCCAATCCCTGTATTCCTCTCTCCCCTGCAGGATGAGGTCTCTCCTATGGACGTTGAACTCCCAGCTACCTGAGCCTGCTGCCTGTGATGGAAGAGCTGGATGTGAATGTGAGGTAGGAGGAAGGACTCAGCTGCTGCAGCCCCTGAGCTGGGCTGGGCAGGGACCCTCAAATGCATCTGCAGGGAGCATTCCCTCCCTGCCTGCTGGTAAAACTCCCTGCTCATGCAGCAGGGCCTGGTTTGGGGTTTCCTGGAGCTCCTCTGAGGACGTGACATCACCCTGGTGTTTGGAGGAGTGTCAAACGTGGCCTAGACGAGTCAAGGATTTCTTTTCAGTAGAAAATGTTATGAATTTTGAAAAGGTTGCAGTGTGATGTTGGAGAGACATTCCTGGAAAATTTTGACAGTTCAGTTTGGAACTTGCATTCATCACAGCTCGAGGGAGGTGGCAGACCTCATTTTCTCTAATTCCAGAGTAGAAAAATAAATGACCCACGAGTATTTCCTATTTATATTTTATTGGATTTCGTAATTTCACGTGTTTCAGAGATTGTTATTGGGTACATTTATTACAGGCAGTAGGTTAATGAGATCCTGTCAAGGGGTTTGAAATGAAAACCTCAATTTGGTTACAGCAATCCAGAGAGGCCAAGCTCTGCCTGGCTTGGGCTCTCACCAGTGTAAATCACAATTGTGCCGTGTTTGGGGCTATGAAAGCCTCACCAGGCTTTGGGTGAGGCTCCATCATCTCCCTGCAGAGCATTTCCAGGTGCCAGGAATGAAGCAGAGCCTCTGGTGGTCTGACAGCCCATCCTTATGTCATGGGAGCTAAATCTCATTCTCTTGTATTTTTGGAGCACACGTGACTCTTATCTACACCAGTTCTGCATGGCAGTTTTGCCCTGCATTTTTCTGCCTTTTTTCCTGCCCTTTTCCCTCTGCTCCTTCTCCTCCCTTCACCCCCACCCACCTTTTATTTTCCACCCCCTTTTTCCCAACTTTTTTTTCTGCCATTTCCCCCCCACATGGTTTTTCCTGTCTGATTTTTCCTTCCTTTTTCCCTGCCTTTTTTTCTTTAGCCTGCTTTTTTTCCTGCCTTCCCCCCCTCCTTTTTTTTCCCATCCTTTTCCCTCCACCTTTTTCCCTGCCTTATTTTCCCCCCTCACCTTTCTTCCCTTTTCTTTCCTCTTTACCCGTTGCAACAATTTAGGAAATGGCATTTAACTGAGAACCTGAGCTTCGCTCAAAGCTGGCACCTGATTTTCCTGGGGCTGGCTGAAGTTTCCCTTGGAAAATCTCCTTAATGCTGATAGGGGAAGATGTGTGTTAGTGTCTTCACAAACAATTCCAGGGGCGTTAATTAATGGCTTTGAAATGGCTCTCGATGTCTCAAGGGCAAGGCTGTTACAGGCCCCAGGCAGGTTTGACTCCTGAACTTTAGGGTCACAGATAAAGGCTCAGCACTTTAAAGCCTGTTACAGAACCAGTGGGGAAAGGAAGAGGGCTACGGGCACCCAGGAGTTTGGGATAAAAGGAATTTTGAGATTCCCCAGTGGACTCTCTCCTTTTACTCTAATCAAGTTGCATGACTCCTCTGTCCCCTTTATGGATGCTGGCTTTCCCCACACGTGGGAAATATGGAAATATTGATCTCACAGTTGTGTTCCAGGCAGATTTTGGGATATTGTCCTGAGTGCTTCACACTCAGGAAAGGTTTCTTGTTTCCTCAGGTTGTTACAGTCTGGATAAACAGGTGAAAAAAAAAAATCACCAGCATCTTTAATGCTGGTGAACAGCTTTTACAAAACCCCTTTAATTCCAGCTGCTGGTGAAGGCAGACTCCCTTTGCTAAGTCAACTTTGCAAAAACAGGGTATTATTTCAGTTTGCCACAGCAGTAATTGCTTTTTATTTTTAAGCTGAGCCCCCAAACCCGCTGAATTTGAGATTGATGTTAATTGCTCCCAAACTTGGCTTTATCAGCTTTGCTTTTCTCACTTTGCTGCTGAAGGTGTTTTTGTGGCTTGAAAAGTGCAGAGCCCTCCAGCAGTTCTGTGTGCAGCTCATTAATCTTATCTTGACTTTGAGGAATGAGCAGAAGGTGAGGGAACAAGGAATCACATCGGTCGGGTTGCTTGTGTTTGTTTGGAAGCAAAGGCAAAATCCCATTTTTGAACCCAAACCCCTGGTACAGAGGCATGGGGAGCGCTGGTGCTGACAGCTGACCTCCACCCATACCCTTGGCAGGGAATTGTGTGTTTGGGGAGTCCCAAATGCTGGAGTTTGCTCTGCTGGCTCCTTCTCTCCGTGGAGCTGGGATGGGTTTGGCTCCTGGTGCTGGGCACGGGCAGGAGGAGGCAGGGAGGGTCCTCAATCTCCTCTCCCCATCCAAACCTGGGAGAAACAGGAGCAAGAGTCATGGAGGGAGAGAGAGGGACCCAAACACCCATCCCTGGAGCTCCAGGATGTCCTAGAGGAGCTGGGGGTGCCCTCACCCCCTGCTCAGGGCACTGCCAGCCGCTCCTGAGGGGGACAAGAGCTGGGCTGAGTGATTGCAACCAAACAGGCACCAAAATGACCCAAAGTGTAGGAAATGAAAGGAGCTGAGGGAAGAGTTTGAGTGCTCTGAGTGCCCTGGCAGTGAGGATTCATGGAAAGCAAACAGCTGAGGTTGCAATAAAGTGTTTATTCCTGTGTACACAAGGTCTTTTCAAAACCTCTCCAGCTCCTACACTTGGAGTCATTAAATCATTGTTTATCTCAAGTCCTTTGATCACACTTGTGTTTAGGTGAGAAATAGCAGGCTATAAAATGTCATTTAACAGGCCACAGTCAGCCTGGAGCTCTCTTCCTCCTTCCCTTTCCAAGGGAAGATCAACTCTAATCCTTCTGTGGGATCAGCAGTGCCCAGCCAGAGAGGGATTTGCTCTTGCATTTCTGCAGAGCCAAATGAACTGATTGGGAAGATTTTCTGCCAAATCCTGTCTTCTCCACCTGTCCCCCAGGCTGGGGAAGGGGCTGGAGCCCCAGGAGCAGCTGAGGGCGCTGGGAAGGGGCTGAGCCTGGAGCAAAGGAGGCTCAGGGGGACCTTGTGGCTCTGCACAGCTCCTGCCAGGAGGGGACAGGGACAGGAGCAGAGGGAACGACCTCAGGCTGGGCCAGGGCAGGCTCAGGGTGGGCACAGCAGGAATTTCCCCATGGAAAGGGGGCTCAGGCACTGGCACTGCCCAGGGAGGGTTGGATCCCCATCCCTGGAGGTGGCACTGGGGGCTCTGGGCTGGGGACAGGGTGGGGACAGGGCACAGCTGGGACTCAGTGCTCTGGGAGGGCTTTCCCACCTCAGTGATTCCATGAAATGCTGTAAGCAGCCAGCTGAAAGAGGCTGTGGGGTTTGCCAGGTTTTCCTCTCTGTGCCTGGGGGTGCTGGTGTGGCTGGGCACAGCAGGGACGCTTTGGGAGGAGTGCACACAAAGGCCTGGGGCATTCCTGAACCTGCAGCCACAGAGCATCCCCCACCTGCCAACAGCACCGGGGCAGGGCAGGAGGGAGCAAGGAATGATAAAAATTCACTTTTACATTTTGTGCTACCAGCCAGGAATTTCCAGTAGCCAAAAGAACCCTGGGGGAAAAGTTCCCTTTCCTAAATGCTCCCTCCAGCCCAGGCCCTGCTCCATGGGGGAGTCACAGCCTGGGTGTTTTTCATATTGTTCAACTCTTTTCTCAGTTTCTAGGGAAACACTTTAAAGCACTATATTTATGGGAACATCTTTCCAAACACCTCCGCCAACACTTAATTAATGGAGTTTTTAAGCCTGGCTCCAGCTCCTGCAAATTAATAGTGTGCTCTGATGGCAGCTGTGCAAGGGAGACACACAGGCTCTGGAAATAGAGCTGGGGGTGCAGAGGGGCAGCTCCTGTTGGTGTTTGTGCCCAGCCCCACGGGGAGCTCAGGTCCCCACACTCCTCTGTGAGGCTGCATCTGATTTATCAGAGCAGTCTGTGCACATGGAAATTCCCTGCACTAAGCTGGCCCACAAAAATGAACTTTTTGATGTCTTGAATCACATTTTTAGCATCAGTGTCTGTGCACAGAGGGACAGTGAGTGGAGATCTGGAAGAGGCTGTAGAAGGATGTGAAAATAATCCTAAAAACTGGGATTTCCTGGGGCAGGCTGGGCTCCAGGGCTTGAAATGGGCTGGGCCTCATTGCCAGCCTATGCCCAGGGCAGCTGCAGTGCCAGGGCCTTCCCACAACACCTCCCTTGATTTCCAGGGCTCACCCCCAGCTCTAGGCTGGCAAAATTCCACTTGTCCCCATGTTTGCATTGCCCTCTGTGCCAGGAGTGGCTGTGCCCAGCAGTCAGGGACCCCTGCAGATGAGCACCTTCCCTGCTCAGCCCCAATTGAACACAATTAACAAACAATTAACAAGCACTCCCAGGGCCTCCCAGGCTGGTCCTGCTCCTGGGTGGCATCGGCTCCATCTGAGCTGAGCCTGCACTCCCCATGCTCAGGGCACCTGGGCCTCCTCTCCTGTTTATCTGGAGTGAGAAATGTGGTGAGGGCTTTGTGGAGAGCATGCAGAACATGCACTTAGCTGGGCATGGAGGAGGAGGTTTAACCAAAAACCGAGGAATTTGAGTGTTCTGCTCTTGAGTCAAGGGCATTCCAGGTCCTTGCTTAGAGAGGACACCTGTCTGGAGCCTCCACACCAGTGAGGGCATAAAAATGAGCTGGTGGACACCAGGGCCTGGGAGGTTTCTGGCTGCCACCACTGGAACGATCTTTAACAAACTTTGGCTTTTTATAGTAAAGCTCAAAACGAGCTGGGAACTGTTTTTGTGTGGCTTGGAGTCACACAGGGGGTCAGGGAGGGTCTCAAATAAAATGTATTTTAGAAATCAATGCTTTATCCTGTCTGTGCCAAGTCTTCCATTAGCAGAGGTAACTGCAAGGAACTTTTTTGCTCCTCTGGAGGTTTGAAACTGGGAAACTCTCCAGGAAACATCAGAAGTTAGACAGCCAATAGCTGTATTTGTCTCTTGCTGTCCAGGATGTAAACAGGCAGTGGGAAAAGGGCACAGCCTGGAGATTTTAATACCCAGCCTCATACC